ACCTGAGGAAGACTCGTCGATGATGATGATGTAGAGGTGGATGGTGGTGCGACTAGTTGATCCAACTCAAAAATGCGCCCATGTTTGCTACCCCTCCCGAGCTCCCTCCCCGTCGTCAGATCCTGAACAACGCAACCAGACGGTGCAAAAATAACACGACAGCCTTGGTCAGTAAGCTGACCCACGGAAACCAAATTAGGAACAAGGCGGGGAACATGGAGAGTAGCAGGTAAATGAACGCGATCATTATTAACCATACCAATACCGGAAACTTGTAAACGTCCCCCATCAGCAACTTGTAACAATAAATTATCCACAGGAGACACATGGGCAAGTGCAGAACGATTGCTCGTCATATGATTAAAGCATGCCGAATCAAGAATCCACGTAGGGGACGTAGGAAGCTTACCCGAAACCTGAAGGCTGGCGAAGGCGGATGAGATCGCTTTGTTTACCATGTGCTCTAAAGCTGCCGGAGTCACCATGACACCCTCGACAGGAGAAGCAGCAGCTGCGGGTTGAGCAGCATACACCGGACGCGCTGGAGTGTGCGCGGGAGCCGAGGCAGCAGGCGACGCACCACCAAAACCTCCACTAGCCGAACCACCAGCCATGTGGCGTTGAAGAGTCCTACAATCAGAGATAATGTGGCCCTTCCTTTTACAATATACGCAAAAATTACGGGCTCGACAATACTTTTGGGTGTGGCCTTTCTCCCGACAGTGATGGCACTCCATTTCAGAAGAAGATCGGCGCTGAAAAGGAGGCTGATAGGCTGCAAAAACAGAAGGCTCGCCAACAGAAGGATTTCCACCCGCGCCAGAGCTTGCCGGACCTAGCGAACTGAAAACAGCGACGTCGCCAAGGCCGGGGCGAGCATCCAAGTTGGCCTGTGTGCGGAGGCGGGTCTCCTCCCTAATGAGACTGCCCAGGACACCCTCAATTTGGAGCTTCTCCTGATTAAGAAGAGTTGCGCGCACTGGTTCGAATTCAGGTTTAAGGCGCATCAAAAATTGAATCAACCGAATCTTGTTCTTCTCGGCCTGGGCATCGGCGGGTAAAGGTTGGGACAGCAGCGTCGCGGAAAGCAAATCTTGTTCCGTCCAAAGAAGACGTGCAGCATTAAAATAGGAAGCTACATCAAGGTTGCCTTGATGAAGGGCGGCCAATTCCACTTCAAGTTCAAATTGGCGGTTAGTGCTCGTACAAGCATAAGTGGCAGCAAGCGATTTCCACATATCAGCAGCAGAGGTGAGCAGGCGAAGCCCCAGGAGAATGGTGGGATCGACTGAATTGAGGAGCAGCGATCGAACCCTGGCGTCACTCTGGATCCATTTAGCAACATCTTGATCGGTGGATGGCGGGACAGTGGGACGGACGGACGTCCCGTCGAGCAGCCCGAGAAGTCCCTTTCCTTCAATGAACGTACGAAACTGAAACGCCCAGATGGCGTAGTTCTTGGAGTTGAGACGAGTGGCAATATGATCGGATTCCATAGTCGTAAGCTCTGATACCATGTTACGAAACCGAAAACGAATATGTAATCGAAACAGATATAATCGAAACGGAGAGACACGGGATTTACGTGGTATCCTCGACGTATGATTGTCGAGACTAATCCACGGCACAAGGCGGTTTCAGTGTTTCTTATTATCTCCAGAACAACGTACAGGTGATATATATACATCATTTCAGCAACCCTAGCAGAGAGGAGGAAGATGAGAATCGGCCTAGGGTTAGTGTCCATGATCTACGTACACAATCATGTGAGTGCATGGGCCTTCACGTTAGTGAGTGCATGGGCCAGAAGCCCATCACTTCAACAGTATCCATATTCTTATTTGTATCTGCTATCTGTGATTTGATTCCCACGATGTGCAAATGAGCCAAGCCGCTCGCGAACAACTCGGCGTTTGAATCGGAAAAAAACTTGTTCGACACTCGGCTCGTTATTTAACCAGTCGGCTCTCGAGACGACTCGTTAGTAAACGAGCCAAGCTTGAGCTATATCATGCTCAGTTTGATAAGCTCGTGAGCTAGCTTGACTCGGTAGCTTGTTGAGCTAAGCTTGGGAGGTGAATTGTTCAGAGCTTGTGAAATATTTAATTACTCTTCAGAACATGAACATTATCTTTGTTAATATGGATGTGAATGAAAGTTAGCTGTTATTTATAGTTTCCAGTTTCTTTTTATCTTATAAACTCATATGTGTACACATTTTTAGCAAGAATGACTTCAAATCGAGCTCATTTTGAGCCGAGCTTATACATATCTTGACAAGCTGTGTTATTGAGCATTTATCGAGATCGAGTTGGATTATTTTTAATCGAGCCAAGCTAAAGCTCGAGCTGAAAAATTTATAAATGACCGAGCTCAAGTTAAGCAAAAACTCGACTCGACTTGGCTCGTTTGCAACCCTAATGTAGCTACTTGCATTGCACTGATATACACCATAGTCTCATGGATACTTGCATAACACTAGCACATCATGGAGGAGGTGGATGGTTTGTATTCGTTCGGTACTGCGTAGTTACCATATATGTTCTGTGAATCTGTTGTCAGTCAAATTATTGGTCAAGTGACATACAGAGCATAATTGTTTTAAAATTTAGTTGTTATTGAAAGGATTTGAATGGTCGACTGGAATAATCTTGTTAGTTTGTTTTTAATGGTTTGAAGCTTGCATTTGATATGAGGTTTGCCCATGTAAGCTTCAGGAAATGAAAGGAAGTTGTTCTTGTAGTTGTCAACGGTTAGGTTGGTTTGCCTTAGATTTTAGATGATGGGATCCCTCTTCAATTGCCACTAATCAGCTAAATGATATATGTTTTGTGGCTATCTCCAAAGGAAAATTGAGATTTAGGTAACATGCTGGTCTAACAGTTAGAGAGTCTGAGCATGATTTTAAATTTTACTAAATGTCATGTTGTTGAATCTGTTTTACTCCTATGCAAATATTGTTGAATCATGTTGTTGAATCTATTTCTCTAATTGTTTGTATTTGTTGCGAGTTGTTATTATTATTCACTGAATGTCGGCTCACCAATCGACACTTATTTTTCAGATATGGTAGGTATCTTTCTTCAAGATAGTCTCGTGCCGGTTAGGATCTTGCGCTAGATTTTTTTTCCCGGTGCCAAGCCCTTGTGTTCATATCATTTGAGGCAGCTCTTGAACTAGCACTTCTACTGTGCTATATAGTATTGGTGCTTTAATATACAACTTAAAGTTGTACCATAACATTAAATGTATAAGTTTATGTTGTACCATAAAGCAATTTGTACCATTATGTTATGGTACAACTTTACAACTTGAAGTTGTACCATCACATAAAGGTACAAGTTCAAGTTGTACCATAAAAGAATTTGTACAAACAGTATAGGTACAATCTAAAGTTGTACCATAACGTAAATGTACAATTTTAAGTTGTACTATAAAAGTAAAATCCTATAGCACCAATACTATATAGCATTGTAAAATTTCTCGCTCTAGAACTCCACACTTTAGTGTCATCCATGTCTAATAGAATATTACATGTCGTTCTCTCGCTACTTTGTTAACTATGAATATATGGTAATGACTGGTATACTCCTAGAGTATACCATACTCCATGTGATATTACCGTTAGATCTCCTTTTTTGAGCTCCGGCCAATCTCAATGGTCAATTAATATTTTCTATTAAATTGAACTTTGAGTTTGAGTTTGAGTTTAGAGAATCGGGACTTGGGGTTTATCCATTAGAGGTTAGAGTATAGTATCATACCCAAACATCGATTTAATTCAAAGTCTAGATAGAGATATCTCACTATGAGAACCTGAAGTATAGTATACTCCAGGAGCACACCAGTCTGACCCGTGAATATATATATACACTTATATATGTATACGTGTACACACTCCCTAAGATAACAGGTCATATGTCATATATGGATTATTGTGGATTTGAGTTTATCAAGGTTGATTGTGATGAATTAAAACTTGTGCTTGCTTGACTTGTGTGGATCCTTCTGTTAGTAGTTTTATCCGCACGCCGGTCACGTTCTGGGTAAGGTGTGACAGTTATGGAGCTCGATATTGAGCTCTATATGGCATGAGAGTTGCAAAGTTAGGTATAGCAGCCAATTCAAATCTCTTGAATTTCTTATAGATATAGTCGCTGGAGTGGGATCGGAGTTGTTGTTTCTGCAGGCTCTTCTCATTCTCTGATCTTGGCTCTATAGTTAAAGTAGGTATATTTTACCGATTTTCTATTCCCCATAGATTGTAGGCTTACAGTGGAGTTTACCTACTGGTTGGCAGGGACGTTGCCAATTATAGTACACTCTTTTTTGATGATATAATATACGAATCAATTTATAAAAAAACAATAAGAAGTGTTTTTTAATATAAAAAGGCATGAAAAATGACAAAAAAAGTTTATAATATAAAATATGAATAAATATTATAAAAAATCGAGTCAAAAGTGATCTTCTTATATTTCTTTTACATTAAATAATATTAATTTTTAACTTATTTTATTTTTAAAATGACATTAATGAAATAAAAGTGTTTTTTTTAATTAAAATAAAAATATAGTAACGATAATATTGTATTTTTCAAAACAGTGTTTAATGAAGTTCCAAATAAGAGCTTCTGTTTTTGTGTTATACAAAAACACTTTCAGTTTTTCAAAATTCAAACGTTTATAGGTGTTTGGTCCTGCATAACCTTTTGAAGCAAAATTTTATTTTTTTTTTTGAAAAGTCGGGGCAAATATAAACATAGTATGCTTGAATAACCTAGTCTCCGAGGAGGACTATATATAAGAATTCAATGGAGAAGATGTTGGTTATGGAGCTATTAGCTGGTCACAATGTGGGAAATAGCGAATTTGGGCAGGTTGTATTACGATTTTTGAATACTATATCTAGATATTTATTTGTAATAGCTAACTAATTTTTATTTGTAATAGCTGACTTTTGTGCTCAACACCTATTAATCTCTTAAATTTCGGTGGCATTGTAATGTTTATTTTTTATTCTTTTTGACAGATTTACTATACCTACACAATGCACTATTACCAACTTTTACTTTTATGTGATTTGATAGATTCAAATTTGGAACCTCCAAATTCAAAACTAGTAGTATTACCAAGACTAGGACAATTGGATCTTAACCTTTAAAAGACTAACTAATTTCCATCATTTAAAGTTAAACACAATAGATAAAGAAGAAAAAAGCATCATGATCGGATGATCATCATCACATTATAGAGCAAGCATGCGGGTTTTCGTCGCTAAACATGGCAATGGCCGGCTGTTTAACGGCGGAATAGACGACCCGCCGTTGATCATAATCCCGGTAGTAACTATCTTCGTCGTGGTAGTAAGTATTAGAAGCCCTGTAGCCGCGCCGCTGCTGATCATCGTCATCAAGATTATGATATTGAATGCCATAAGGCGGTGATGGCTGCGTCTCCAAGAGATAAGCCGGGTGCTGGTGGTAGTAGTAGGATTCCTGGGTGAAACTGGTGTACTCTGGACTGTAACCGTACGGCCATAGCTCGGCCCTTCTTCCGGTCCTTCTCACTGCTTTAAGAACCGTTTCTTGGTCGGCATATCCCATCACCGTCACCTTCTGCATCTCCATGTCTATGTCGATGTTGTTCACTCCTGCGTGCAGGTAATTTGGTTAAGCAATATCATTAATCATTCATTGTATTAGTAAAACCATGTAAATTGTACAACAATGAAGTTCTTTTCTATTATGATTAATAGTGGATTTATGGTTAGCGTACCATCTAGTTTCTGAAGAGCTTTCTGAATCTTGGCCTTACATCCAGGACAATCCATATGAACGCTGAGCTCTGTGATCTGTGGCAATGAGATCGAAGAAAAGTAACAGTTTAATTTTGAGGACTGAAATAAAACAGCATCAATTTTGTACGGTGATGGCATTTTAATTGGTGGATATTCCACATAATTAGTTACCTTGTTGACAAAGTTACACCAGCTGGACAAATATACACACAGGAGCAAGCATACATATACATATATTGCTTCACACAAATAAAATCCCATGCCTAGCTAATTAATTAAGATAATCCTTACTATGCAGCAAACATTTATATTTGTAAGAAGGCAAATAATTAAGCAAGGAACAAAGATACGCAAGGACAACGTAACATGATGGAAACAAGGTAGCGAATCAAACTAGCTAACGTAATTTATCTTACCGACATGTCTGATCGATCGATCGAGTTATTAACTGAGAGCAAGATTAGCGATTGACCGGAGTGCTCCGATCGAAACTAGCTAGTTACTGGGTCGCAGAAAAGTAGTTTGGGAGAATGCTATACAGTACTAGCTCAGGCAATGGATCGATAGAAGTGGATTGAAGGAAATATGGAGAAAAAGGGAAGCTGGTCGACTCGTTATATATAGAGATGGAGGTGGAGGTGTGTCTTGAGATGCAAGCAAGCTACTGGTTGAGATAAAGAATAAAATATGAATTGTAGTTGGTTTCAGCGTTAACTAATTGCTTCTAAGGGACAGAGACTGGGCTACGCGCGCGCCCGGATATTATTTAGAAATATTCCTCAGAAATTTCCCCGCATTTGCATCCTACATGTATTGGTGATGCTTACAAGTCAGACAATATTATATTGCAAGCTGGATTCGATTCGGCTCAAGGATTGGGGGAGTTAATTGCTCACCTCCGGGTGCAATGGTTTGATCCGTACTGCATCGCACAGGACCTAATTAGTATATATTTGGATTGGATCGTATTGAACCGATTATATTGTGGTTCGGTCCTTATTCTATGAATTTTATAATTATTAAAAAAAAGATGGACTGTATTGATGTTTGGACCGAACCGAATGGATCAAAGACAATGATGATCTGATAATTGATTCTCTAATATCTTCACAAATAAACTATGATTCGCCTGAATTCGATCCAGTCCAAACATGAACAAACCGTTGCACACCCCCCTATACAAGAAACTCATGTAAATAAACTATTTGGTGCCTCGCTCCTTGACCATTTTTTTAATCATATCTATATATTAGTTAGTACATCTTCAGCCAAATTAATAATTTCAACATTTTAATACCCATCCGAATTATGTGGAATGAAGAGCACTGGCTAATGTGGCATAAATTTTCTGTTGACATTTTCTTATATTTATTTGTAGATTTGTGGAAACACGTCTCCCATCGTGGTTGAACCATCGGTACGGTACGGTTTCATGGACCATGATTAATACCCATCCGAATTATGCGAAATGAAGAGCACTGGCTAATGTGGCATAAATTTTGTGTTGACATTTTCTTATATTTATTTGTAGATTTGTAGATGTAGAAGTTATATATACGGTGAGTGATAAAAAAGAGCGGGCCTGTATATGGTAATGGTCCACCTGTTAGAACCAATGACAGTTAACTTATGGCAACCACGACGGGAGACGTGTACATTGACGACCAAGACTTTAATTTCATATATGATTGTACTCCAGGCTATATACATACATATATTACTCTTGCACATAATCGTTGGGAACAACTACGGTGCTAATTGTACAATAGTTAGCACCGTCCTAACCAAGGGAAAAACTACTACTAGTTTGAATTAGTAGTGATTTAGCTTAGATGTTGTATTGATTTTATAAAAATTCGTAGTGATTTCGTTATTTTTAGTAGTGTTTTTTGCTAGTTATCACGGTACTAACCCCTATAAGGGTTAGCACCTAATCCCATCCCTAATCGTTGTCGACTGTTAGACCTGGCAAATTACAACTCGGTTTATTGACCCGACCTGAAATTGCTCGAAAACTAGAAATTTTTGTAACACGAAATCTGAATAACTCGTGTTTTTTTTTCGTTTAGGTTGGGTGGGATAGCGGGTTAACCCGTTAGCCCGTTCCATTTTATATATCACTCCAAAAATATGATAAAATCACTCATAAATTGGTGAGATGTTTAAAAAAAATTACAAGGATTTGAATGACATGTTTCAAGTTTAAGGATAATCAAATATCATGTGTTTCTTGTAGTATTATTACTCTTATGATTGTTTTTTGACGATTTGCGCACCTTGTATTTCATCTCATTAGCGTGGAAGGATTTGAGAATATGTTAATTGACATGTGTTAGGTAAACTATTGACATGCATATGTGAAAATTTGTGTTCTTTAAGAAAATATGAAGCATGTTTGATATTGTTTCTAAGAACGCTCATAACCCGAAACGACATGTAACCCGATCCAAAACCGAATGGGTTGGGTCAATATGTGACCCGAAATTAGCCGACCAAGCTTGACCAGACTTATAACCGAAGTCCCCAACACAAAATTACCCAACCCAACCTGATTGCCAGGTCTATCAACTGTCATAGTCTACGGCAGGAAATAGAAAATGAAAAAGAAAAATAACAAAAGAAATAGTATCTAACGAATGAACTCGTCCCCCCCCCCCCTATATAATTTGTACATCAAATAAATCACGATTAATTTGTTTTATCCGTGTATAAAATTTCAAAATTTGAGTTAAAATGAAGGTGGTAACGAGTGATGTGAATTTTTTTTGTCAAAATATATTAAAAATGAATCTCATTTTGTAGATCACAACGAACTCATTTCGTCTGTGAAAAAAAAATTCAAATTAGAAAGAAGAAGTTAAGAGCGATTAAGAAATATAAAGGAAAATAAAAGGTCATTTATTCTCACTACTTAGATCTAAAGCCTTATGCCCTACTCAAAACTAGGTAATGTTTGCTTGTGTGATTTGGGTGATATATTTGACACCCAAATCCCAAGCATTATGTATTTGCCAAAATAACATTGTTTGTTGAGGTTTACTTATCTGTGGGGCTCACGGATTTGATCATTTTTTTAAGCTCCAAATCCGTGGACCCACGTATTTGCAAATATCACATTTCATTTGGTATTTGGTCATGGAAGGCAAGGATTTGAAAGCCTTGGTACAAACCTGTAAATCCATGATCAAAATCAACTAAACAACAATGTTATCTTTCAAATACACAATGCAATAAATTCATCTTAAATCCAAAGGTTTTTAAAACTCATTCATTTACAAATCCAACAAGCAAACGAGCAACTGACATTTGATATTATATATATATATATATATATATGGCAAAGGCTAGCGTACACCTGTCGTACGCTATGCGCTTGTGTTCACACTGATAAAATTAATTTTAAATTTTAATTACAACCACAGCCACTACAAATCTTTTTGTGTACGTTATAATCACACAAAAAATTGTATCCTACATCGTACTTAAATCAATCATCTAACAAACCATTATATAAACTTTCATTCTTCCAGTTACGATTCAAACACCCAAATTTCTATTTATAACCTTCCATCCAATTTGTCAAAAGAGTAACTGAAACTTTAATCCAATGATAATCAAATACTTATCCGCCATAGAGAAATCGTATCCACCTTGGTGAAGCGATGAGCCTTCCACAACGTCCCAAGAACGCTGACTCAAATTCCTCCTCCAGCGACGATTGTACGACCACAACAGGGTACCGGTGGGCTGCGTCGGCTCGATGACGATTCCAACTCTCCGACGCGTCTCTGCCGATGATTCGAGAAGGCGACGTCTCCGTTTCTACGATCGCGATTCTTTCAGCTGTAGCATCTTCTTCTTAGTCTTTAATATTTATACTTTATTGTCCTTATTCCCATTTTGGAACAAAGGTCAATTCCAAGCTCTTAGTATCATATCATATGCCTTTCAGTCCACCCCCACCTCCTTGCGCCTTTGCTTCACCTCCCCTGTTCTTGCAATAAAACATGTATGAATATGCACCTCTCACTTAGTATCATGTATCTTCTTTTTGAAATTTCACGACCTGAATTTCATCAATGTTGTACAGAGCTTATTTCTATGCAACAAAACATGTATGGATCTACAGCGCTCACTTATTTCTTGTCTCTAGTCTTGCTCTGTTTTGTGTTAAAGTTTGCAGGGGAGTTCGTCTAAGAGGTGAAAAGGAGAAGGAAGGGTTATCGAATCGTCCATCGACTTCTACGGTGTTAAAATCTACTAAGAGTGAATTAATTTTAGTTTTTAAGTTTCTGGGTTTGTTTGCTCTGTTCAAGCTGTTATTGGTGTCTATGCCTACTAAATCTATAGGAGAGGTCCCGAACCGGAAAAAATAGCAAAAGGGAAGGTTATGTTGTTTTGATTTTGTTTTAATTGCCTTGTGATATTAGGTTGGGCTAATTGCAAAGTTGAATTGGGATGTTCGTTAATTTGTTAACTCGTGGGACTAAATAGTATTGAAAAATAAATCAATAGGTATGGTTGTAATTATAATTATTAATTTAATTATAATTAATTAAAAATAATTAATATGTGTGAACACAGGTGTATAGCGTACGTCAGGCGTACGCTAGCCTGAACCATATATATATATATATATATATATGGGTTATGCATCATATTTTATCGTAGAAGGCTTTGCACGCCAATTACATTTTTTAATTATTTTTCTAGGAACAGGCTTTCTTATTTGTGCTGCTTAGCTTTACCTATGTAGGCATCGGTCCGATCCGGACTGGATCGGACCAAAATCAGGAGAACCAAGGTCCGATAGTGAAAAGACATCTCAGGATCAAGCACCAGACTAATAATGCATTCAATCCGCTTTGGTCCGGTCAAAATATAAATTCGATCCATTTCTTTAGCATTTATGAACTTCACAGGACCTAAGACCGGGCCATATTATATTGTGTGATCTGGTCCAAATATCAATTCGATCCGATGTGGTTCGATATAAACCAACCCATTGCCCACCCTAGCTTTACCACATCATCAATCGTAATAAACATTTGAGGCGGATATATATACATATATAATTTGGTTTACTTCATAATGACCTAGTTGCTAAAGTTCTGGGAAATTTCCAACCATCCAACCCGCAGGCCCCACCGCCCTTTCACCATCACCTACGATTGCAACAGCTTATAGCTAGTCCGGAACCGGAGTGCGACTGCGAGGTACCAAACTTTGAAAGATGCTTTAAATTTAATTCTTCTATAAAAATTTGCTCTCTCCAAGATTGGAGTTTCTCATAATTAAATACGACTTGAAAGTCTCTGTTCGTTCTAAAAGTGAAGTCAAGTCGTCAAGCGAATCAATACATACATGATTGGAGTGACTGATTTAGAAATAAAAGAGAGATTAATTGGATCTCTTAATGAAACTAGGTATAATCTGCAACTCTGCATCATTCATCAAATTTTGAATAGGTTGGATTTCTGGGAAAGGATAGCACTATAATAACTAGCATGTAAATCGTTTACTATATTTTAGATTTAATGGCTACAAATATAGAAAAGACATAGTAGGAATTGAACAATCAAAATTAAAAAGGAAAATTTATTTATTCTTTCCGTAAATGGATGGATTTTGTGTGATTGCTCTATTTACGGTTGTTATTCCCGATTTTGCGAGTTCCTTTCCATAACTTATTTTTAGAACCACTACTAATCTTCAGCATCTAACAAGAAAACAATACTAACAAGAAAAACACTATTAAACTTTGGAATCACTAAAAAAGAAAACACTACTAATAGCGAGAATCACTATCTAAAAACAATACTAATCGTGAAAATCACTACAAATAAAACTCCAAAAATATATTACTAACAAGGAAGACACTACTAAATCTGAAGAAACACTACCACGCGTCTTGAAAATCAATACTATTGTAAATCTAAAGAAACAATATACAAGAAAAATACTAAATATGAAATCTTCAACCCACCTATCTCCAAACACCTCATCCGAAGGCCTCCAAATTAAATAATAGTAGTCTGTTGCACAAGCGAGGCCGATGCAGAGAACGAAGACTTAGGCGAGGGCGGAGAAGTTAAAGGTAGGGATGGCAATAGGTCGGGTTGGGGCGGGTTTTGTCAAACCCAAACCCAAACCCATGGGTTTATCCGCCAAAAAAATCCGGGGTAAAACCCGCTGGGTTTGAAAAACTCAAACCCAACCCAACCCGCTGGGTATCCGCGGGTTCATGGGTACCCGTGGGTTTTTGTGGTAAAAAATTTACAATCACAAGTTTCTTTCAAAATAAAAGTTTAACATTAATTTTCTCATACAAATTATTCATACAAAAAACACCAATCTAGAGCATACAAGCAAACCGCAAATTATCAATGCAAATTGTTCAAAATTAAAGATAAACATCTATAAACAATAAGATTAATTGAAAACTTCTTACTCGTCAACTAAGTTTCTTCACTCTCCACTTCATAATATCAACTTCATTCTAAACAATTAGAAACAACAAATTATATATGTCTCCACAAACATAAAAAATATTAATTGTTTAAGGAAAATATATTATTTAGAGTATTAAATATACCGAGAAAGTAATTATATGTGTGTGGGCGGGTACCCATGGGGCGGGTTTACCTAAACCCAAACCCAATCCGACCCAGTGAATAGTGTAGCGGGTTTAAACCCGAACCCGGCCCAAAACCCGTCAACACGGGTTTTACCCGTGTTGACCGGGTTGGGTCGGGTGGGTACCCGTGGGTTCGGGTTTTGTTGCCATCCCTAGTTAAAGGCGGTGCATGCAAGGTCGATGAAGCCGTCGCCGACTCAGGCGAGGGTGGCGGAGTCGAATGCGGCGCATGCAAGGGCGATGAAGACGATGACTCAGGTGAGGGAGGCGGAGTCGAAGGTTGCGAAAGAGAGGCTGATACAGACAACTAAGAGGGATGAGAAAGCGAGGGTGGAGATGGCGGCAACGACAAGCCATCGATTGTTTATGGAACTCTGGGCCGGTGAAAGATAGATGCAAGCAGAGAGGAAAATGGAAGAATAAAGAGGAAATAGGGTGAAAGAGAAGGTTGTAAGTTGGAAATTGGAATGAGTACTTTCTCTCCTAAAATCACACACCCAGGTGGGAACGGATCAGGTCAGTAACTCTATGGTCAGTAACCATGAGTAACCTATTTACATCAGCATGACATCAGTATCCCTTCCCTCCTGTAAAGTCTTTTATATTTTCCCCTTCAATCTTTAACGGACGATTTCTCTCTTGTTTTAAGTCGAAATTTAATTTAATTTTTTTTGCACAGATAAATCAGATTAAATGTGCTCTTTAAAATGATATCCACTTTGATATATTTTTAGTACAAAAAAATTGAATAATTTTTTACCAGTCATTACCATATGATATGCTCTTATTTAATACCATATGGTAAGAAAGCGTACCATGATGGTATGAACATACCAATATGGTAAGAAGGTTGAATACATGATAGTAGGAGTATACTAACTATCATTTACGACTTTCATCATTGTTTACTACAAGTTATCACAAGTTACCACCCATATACCGTAGTAGTAAAGTATGGTAATTTTTTATCCAGTATTTTTTTCACCCAGAAATTTATAGATCCAATAAATTATGATGAACTCGTTCCTTCTAAGCAAACGTTTTCAAAAACGACTTAAAAACGAAGAAGTTACCATATGGTATATAGTTGGTAAACAAAAGTTTCTCGAAGTATATTAAAAATTGATCTCATTTTGTAGAGCACAACGAACTCGTTCCATCTGTGCAAAAAAAATTAAAATCTGAGTTAGAACGAAAAAGATAAGAGTCGATTAAGAAAACTAGGGAAAATAAAATGCCTTTAATTGACAACCCTTAGATCTGAATTTTCTGAATCCACTTAGATCTAAAGGTCCAGATTTAGTTACTCATAGGTCAGTAACCAACCTGACTCTATCCTAAGCCCACCCAAGCAGGAATCACGTGTGTGCCTACCAAAAATGCCTTCTAGCAAAATAACCCTTGGATTAATTAAAATGGAAAGGTACGAAGATGAGAGGGGTTAGTATTCTGCTAACCGGCTCAAGATAGGGTGCATAACCATGGGTTATGCATCCATCAATAACCAAATCTGGACCCTTTATTTAGAAAATTCAGATCTAAGGATGGAAAATTAAGGACCATTTTTATGTTTCCTAGCTTTCTTAATCGGCTCGTATCTTTTTCGTTTTAACTCGGATTTTAAATTTTTTTTTTGCACAGATGGAACGAGTTCATCGTGCTCTACCAAATGAGAACAATTTTCAATATTTTTTTAGAAAAAAAAAATTCTGGACTCTCGGTACCAACTGCATACCATATGGTATCTTCTTCGTTTTTAATTCATTTTTGAAAACGTTTGCACAGAAGGGACGGGTTCATCATGATCTATTGGATCTACAAATTTATGGGTGAACAAGTTACAGGACGGAAAAATACCACACAATACCATACAATACCACCCTGGTACGGGGTGGTATTGTATGGTATCTTCTTCGTTTTGAATTCGTTTTTGAAAACGTTTGCACAGAATAGACGAGTTCATCATTATCTATTGGATCTACAAATTTATAGGTGAACAAATTACAGGACCAAAAAATACCACACAATACCATACAATACCACCCTGGTACAGGGTGGTATTGTGTGGTATACCATGTTAAAAGTCGTAAATGACAATTAATATACTTCTACTATCATGTATTCAACCATCCTACAGTCTTGGTTTGTTCATACCACCATGGTACGTTTTTTCAAACCATAGGTATGCTTTTATTTTATACTAGTCAATACCATATGGTATAGACTGGTAAAAAATGGCTCAATTTTTTTTGTTCGAAAAATATATTAAAGTGGATATCATTTTGAAGAGCACAATTAATCTGATCTAACTGTGCAAAAAAAATTAAATTTCGACTTAAAATGAGTGAGAAATCATCCGTCAAAGATTAAAGAGGGGAAAATTAAAGGCTTTCCAGGAGAGAGGATGCTGATGTCATGCTGATGTGGGCTGGTTACTCATGGTTACTCACCATAAGGTTACTGACCTGATCTGTTCCCCTGCTAACCTATTAACTATTAAATAGTTAGCAACCCATCCCATTCTTGGATTTCTCAATCCAACCAATAAGTGCATTTGTAAAAAAATGCAATAAAATATTTCTCAAGTCTTGGAATTGAAAACCAATCCAATACATCAGGTACCTGCGGGTGTATGTATACTCGTGGGTTCAATAGCAAAATGACCGAATAATTTGTCAGAACGTCCACATTCTTATATTATCGATTTTTGTACAACTATATTGCTATCAAGACCAAAGCCGTCAATGTCAAAATTTTACATAAAATTGAAAACTTGGATTTAATCTTAATTGTAAAATCGAATCATAAAATCGTAAGATTTTAAGGTCCATACAAAAAACAAAAAATAATATTAGTCAGACAAATCATGAATAACACAAAGACACAAACACTTAAATAATATTTTTCTCAAGGTTAATACTCAAATTTCTCAAAGTTAATGTTGGGAAGTGGTGCATAGGTTATAACTAATGAGTTGATGTCAATTGATGTCGATGGTGGCTAGTGAGATAGAATTAGATGAAGTTGATGAAGGAGAAGTAAAAAGGCATTATGTTTTGAAAATTAGAGAGAAAATAAATAAAATTTAGCCAAAAATTTATTTTTTTATTTCAAAAAATTTAATCTTATTCTTTTAACTAGGTTCGATTTTGTCCAAATTGAATCATTCATCATGGTCCTTAATATTATTAAACTCCTTGAAAATTGTCGGATTTTATAGATTTAACTCGTGAATAGTGTAGGATTTTAAAATTGAAACATATATGTAAAATCGTAAGATTTTAAGATTTAAATCAGAAATTTTAATACTTTTATAATGACTAATAAAATCGATAGTTATACATATTATCATAACCAGATTGTCATAAAGACTAATAAAATTCACAAATTATTCATATTATTTGAGTTAAATGCTGTTTAAGTCTGGAATGTTCCAGGCAGGTCGGAGACCGTTTCCGTTGAGATTACGCCTTTCCTTCGACGCAAGCGTGCTCCTTTCTATGCAGAAAATATCCGGAGGCGGGGGCCTCGGATACCCTCTGATGCTTAAATTAGTATATGTTTAGAGAGAGTATATAGAGAGTGGGTAGTTCAGTAACCATTAAATGATGTGGTTAGGCCTCTTTTTTTTTTTTTTTCTCCATTGGAGGAGGCACAAAGCCAATGAAAAGAAGGCAGGGTTACAGGGGAAGATTAGCAGAGGAAAGGGATGAGGTAATCACTCTTCTAGGGAAGGTAACACCTCTTTCATCCTCCTGGAGGAGGGTGTGGAGCTCACTTGGCGGTATATCCAATTCATACATACCGTAGGGATAGACCAGACTGTGCTTCGAGAGCCAGTCTGCGACTCTATTCCTTTCCCGGTACGTATGAATCAGACTTACCACCCAGTCCTGAGAAATCTTGCGCCTAATAGCCTTTAGGAGAGTCGCATAAGGGTGAAGAGGATCCGTCCTATTGTTCACCAACTAAATAGCCAATTGAGAGTCTGTCTCCAAAATGAGAGCCCTGCATCCAGAGTTCCACGCCAATCTGAGCCCATGATAGATAGCCCAAAGTTCTGCCATGGTAGCAGAACACGCTCCTATTTATAGCTGATGGGAGTTGGTATGAGAATTTAATGCTCTGCTGAGCATGTATCCGACGTACCTTTATGTAATTACGCTTCCGGCTGCATTTAATGCTGTGAGAGTAGCTATGATTAAAGCTACCACTGTCTTATCAGATTCAACTTCCCTATGCACGCTCTCAAACGCCGCTCCCGCTCCCGATGACGCCTCCCGCTTTCCGTCCACGTCGTCTCCACTGGGCCTTGACCTTGCTTATTGGTCCAATAATTGTCCCGCAGGCGGGGAAAGCCTCTGGATTTTGGCGACTGACTCCTAGGTCTGGGGCGGGAATAACTAACCGACCCCAGGCCCCGGTATACAAGCCTCTCCCTCCAGTCGCTGAATCAGGGATGCCACGCCTCGGGATTGTGTCGTTTGCTTGATTGTCGCGTGTCTAACGATACGTCTTTTCCCTTGTTTTTAGGAAAACGTGTTGTCAGACTTTTTGAATTAATGCCATCATTACTACCTATATAGCCCTCTAGGGTTTTTTGAAAAAAGATTTATCGTAACGACGCTTTCCTTCCTTTAAAATGCCCTCAAATCCCCCAGAATTGGTAAGTTTTCTCTATTCCCCCTCTTACCGATCTTTCTGTTTCTTCGTCGTTCGCCGCTGCTGTGTAACGATTTTCTTTCATCATAGCACGTTGTGGTCGTTACGAGCTCCGGCGCTATCTTACGATGCCTGCTGGTAACGCCGACGCGACTCTGACGCCGTCCACTGGTTCTGGGTCTTCTCCAGGCCAAAAGAGATCCTCGACTGGGACCTTAGTCGCCGCCATAGTTCCTAGCAGCGCCGCTGCCGTCAATACCACCGCCGCCATCGTCGTCAATCTCTCCACTTCTCCGATAGTTTAGGACTCGTCTGAGACGGTTTCGGACCCTATCACTGGTGCCGCTCAAGGTATGCTCAATCTGAACATTTTATCGCTCTCTAGTATGTCCGATATTGACTGGGATTTGAGTGGGGTAGACGTGAACTTTGGCGGATCCTAGTCAGACAATGACCAATTTTTGCTAGGTAGGGCTGGGGATGGTTCGTTTGAATTGACAGATGTTACTTTGGGTTTAGGCGTAGAACCTATAGCTGCTAGGGGTGACGCGTCCGCTGTCGGGGATAACTTTGCCAATTTTGATGACCTTTCTGTGCTCAGCGTTAGCACTGAGGAGGGACTCAACATTGATGATCCGACCTCTGCCGAGCGGCTTGATTCCCTATCCCTCGAACTTTCTGGAGACACCTCGGAAATGGATTATCGAGCAGTGGAAGATGACGAGTATTCCGTGCACTTTCATGCGCATATGTGGGGGAAAGGCGATATTCCCGTGAGCGCCTTCGACCGGGGGCCCGATAGGTATAGTAAGCTTAAACCAGCTACTGTACTTACACGCCTCCGAACTCACCGACTTCCCACTGACTGGAAGTACTCCTCCCCGTCTCCGAACTCGAGAACGGGCACCTGTCCAAAGGGTTGGGTGACGATTTACACTGAGCAGTTGAAGCTGGGGCTATGCTTCCCCCTCGATCCTCTCATCACACAGACCTTGTTGTGTCTGAATTGCACGCTAGGGCGTTTGTCTCCCACTGTTATTTTCAACGTGTGTGCTATCGGCTCGCTTACCAATGGAGTGGCGAGGAACCTTCATTTGCCGCCTTCTGGTTCATTTATGGGCTTCGACGGGTACCTAACATGTGGTCTTTTGGGAGGCGGGACAAGGCATATGGATTTGTGACCGTGTCTCCCAAGTTGGATTCTGCTTGGTTTAATGACTTATTTTATGCGAAGCCTACTACTAAGTGGTATTCGGGTGAGAAGGAACCGAGGACGGGGTTTGCCTATGGGAGGAAAACGAATTGGGATGCAAAGCTTTGGACGCTGGAGTCCCAGAAAGATCATGCATTGAAACTCGCTGAGCTGTCTCCGTTTAATGTGAGGCCTAGGGGCTTGACTTAGTGGGAGCCATTCTAATTGAACTCTTCGGAGATGGTCAGTAGTGTGTATGTTATCATTTTAAAGCGTTTTTTGCTTTCATTTATGGTATTGACCCGCTTTTTATTTGCAGCTATGAATTTTGGGAGTGTGGCCCTATTGGTGAGGCCACCAAGGCGTAATAAGGCGAGTGTCCCGAAGACTGGGAATGCACCTAGTTCCGTTTCGAAGTCGGTTCATCTTTGGCCCTTCTTGTGGTCACAAAAAATCTGGGGACCCTGATCAAGTCTCCTGTTATCGTTGGGCAGGCCATGCTTACGAGCAGGGTCGGGGGTTATGACGGTGAACACCGGCGGCGAGACTGGTCGCCAAGTGCGGGACACTGGGAAGCGTGTTGCTGAAATGCCGGCCGAGGACACAGATCAGGGTCGCAAGAAGGTGAAGGCTACCATGATGACCGAGACTGTCGTCTTCTCCCCCCCCCCCCTCATTCCTCGATTCGGGAGGATTGCGCCTGTTGCATGGTGCACGAGTTGTCCGGGAAGCTTCTTGTGCCCTCAGAGTACACGGATGTGGACGACCCTTCGACAAGGCATTGGGTTGGCACCACCACCCGTTTCCTGCTGGCTGTAAGTGTTATGCACAAAGTTCTATGGTGTGTCGTTTACCCTAATAGTGATTCGTAGTAACGCTTTAAATTTTTTGCAGGCTAGGGTCGGTCTTTCTTAGATTGGGATGACCAATGAGAAACTCCACATGGTCAACTTGCGGGATGGCGTCGAAGCTGCAAGCGAATTGGGGAGCTGGAAGCTGAGTCCATCAAGGGTCGTGCGGTCTTCCGTGCAGAAGCTAAGGCCGAGGTGGATAAGGAGTACGCGGAGACAATGAAGGAGTTGCGTGCGGAGCTGTCCCGAGGCTTTCAGAAAGTGAACAGCTTGAGTTGCGTGCGGATCTGGAAGCCTTCCTTTTCTCTGTCCACTGCATAGACATCTCTTCTATTCTCCCCTCCTCGTGCTTTCGTCTTGTAGTTATACCGCTCGGGCGATCTCCGTTTCCTTGGCGGGGTTTGGTTTCCTTTTCTCACTTCCCTTCCTTTACCTTTTCCCTCTTGGTTCCTCGCCGTCACCACTAGGTCAGAAGCATTTAGAGCTTCCTCCAGAGTTATCGCACATCGTACCAGATTGTCCAGGTCCGGCCACGTGTTTAATTCATGCTCCTTTTTTTTATCAAGGCCCTCTGGAGCTCTTGGATACACGTTGACATTCTTAGATTGCCTGCTGCTACATTGGGCGTTATGCCTAGTACCTCGCACGCGATGGTGTTCCAACTATCGTAAAAATCCGTCAGTGCTTCTCCTTCCCCTTGCGTACAATTGATGAGGGCGGAGACTGTCAACCTTCGGCGGATCTAGGATGCAAACTTCGATGAGAACAACGTGGCAAATTGCTCGAAGTTGTCAATGATTCCTTCTGGCAGTGACGTGTACCAAGAATGACACTGCCCCCGGAATGGTATCGGGAACGCCTTGCACAGTTCCGCATCTATGGTATTGATAAACTGCATCTTCAGGGTAAAAGCACTCAAATGATCTCCCGGATTTGTGCCCCCATTATACGTCGGGAGGCCTAGGGAAGAAAGGTTGGGGGGGGGGGGGGGGGCGGGATCCTTGAACAGCCTTTTTGCTAATGGATTGTGTAGGACGCTTGGTCCCTTCCCCTTCCATTGGGTTTTCCAAAGCTCGACTGCAAATGCTCTTCCAGGAAACTGAGGTCCGCCTCCTTTCCTTCATCTTCGATCTCTTCCTCCCTTGGCTCGTCAATCATGACCATCTTCTTCTTTCCCTTGTCTCTCCTCCCTCCTGACGCCTCCGAGAGATTATCTGACTCTTTCATTCCCTCCTTTATCAGGGAGAGGATCTGGTTTATGTTGCTCTGCATCTTCGATATTTGCTTCCCGTGGTTTTTAACTTGGTCTTCAAGCTCCACCGCGTCCTCAACCACTAGAGACAATCCGCGAAGTGTTCGAGGCTCCATAACTTCCTTCAGGGGAGTGCTGGAGTCCCCTGCCATCGGAGGAAATATTGCAATCTCTTCAAAACCCGTCCCCACTGTGGGCGCCAAATTGTTTAAGCCTAGAAAGTTCCAGGCGGGTTGGAGACCGTTTATGTTGAGATTACGCATTTCCTTTGACGCTAGCGTGCTCCTTTCCCTGCAGAAAAGATCCAAAAGCGAGGGCCTCGGATACGCTCTGATGCTTAAATTAGTATATGTTTAGAGAGAGAAAGTAGATAGAGAGTGGATAGTTCAGTTACCATTAAATGATGTGGTTGGGCCTCTATATATAGTTGATGGGAGCTGGTATGAGCATTTAATGCTCTGCTGAGCATGTATCCGATGTACCTTTATGTAATTACTCTTATGGCTGCATTTAATGCTGCCAGAGTAGATATGATTAATGCTACTACTGTCTTATCAGATTCACCTTCCCTATGCACGCTCTCGAACGCTGCTCCCGCTCCCGATGATGCTTCCCGCTTTCCGTCCACGCCGTCTCCACTGTGCCTTGACCTTGCTTATTGGACCGGTTCCTTTACCATGGGCCTGGGCTCGTTTAGTTATTCCGTTTGGCCCAACAAATGCAAAATTACATCTTTTTTCTTTTCTAGTGCAAGTAGAGTGAAAAACAAATGAGGTTTTGGCCAAATCCACACCCAACCAATCAATTTTGTCAATTTCAAAAGTGAATTCTTTCTATCCACCCCCAACCCAAAACCCATCAATACTGAAAATTACCCGCCTTCACCGAATTAGCTTGGTTTGGGCCTGGGCTGCTAACACTAGGATCATGGACCCTATAAAGCCATGATAGATTACGCAAAATGAGCAGTAAAATGGCTATGATGCATGGTTGTCATGTCGGTCGGTTGAACCTTATTCAACCGGTGTCAGTCATGAAACCTATATGAACACCGCCGGTATGATTGACATGATTGATTTACGAACTCTAAGTAAAATGTCATATTTTAGTGAATGCAATTAATAAAAAATGAGTATATTACATATTTTATGAATATAAAATTTAAAAGTTGATGTAATTTGTTGGATTTAGGTATAAACATTTAAGCATTAACTTTTTGGAGGCCCTACCACAATCACTCATAAGTGAGGGATTATCAATCTCTACTTTTTGTTGAGATTCTTCACAATCATTCAAAATTGACTTTTTGTTGCTTTACAACAAACCACAATCTAAACCTCCAAACAAGATAATTTACTAATACATCAATTGAGTCAATACATCAAATGGTAATACACTAATTGACTCAATACATCAATTTGAATAATCTCAACTTCCAAACAACCCATAAGTCGACATGAACCGGCACAAATCGGTTGTACAATTCCACTCGCTAAACAGGCACAACGGTATAAATCTGTTTGACAACCTACGATGCAACAGCGCATGCACTACAAACAAACCTCCCATTCCGTTCCCCTGTCATTACCGGAAGGATCCAATTCCATGAAGACAGATTTTCACTTAGGGAACTCAGATTATTTCCTTGTCCATCTCAAGTAGCCAAGAAAATGTAACGTCTTCATTGTATTGCACTCCCATAAGGCCATAACTCACCCAATAACCCAGATTCTACTATTCTAGACAGCTGGTCTCCTCTCAATGCCACTAATCTCCAACTTGGAGGATCAAACAAAGCTAGTTACTTCGGCTTCTCAGTCCGAGTTTTGTCCTAGTGTACAATACTACCTCACTATACATACAGTGGCATACCTGGTAGCAATTCCATCCCAGCAACTAACCAGTTCAACAGAAATCAGTTCAAGGATCATATTAGCAGCAATGGCCGAGAAGGCAGGAGGCGTCGTGAAGAATGGTCATGAAGAAGGGCTGAAAATGGCGGCGGCGCTCCTTGAAGAGTTCGAACTCCCTCACGGGCTGCTCCCATTGGAAGACGTGATTGAAGTTGGGTTCGTCAAGGAAACTGGTTACATGTGGGTCCTGCAAAAGCAGAAGGTGGTGCATGTGTTCAAGATGATCAGCAAGAGTGTCAGTTATGACAAAGAGATCACTGGGTTTATCAGCAACAAGAACATCAAGAAGCTCAAGGGTGTCAAGGCCAAAGAACTCATGCTGTGGCCTCCGGTTAGTGAGATTATTGTCGGGGAAGCGCCAACTGGCAAAATTCACTTCAAGAGCCTGGCGGGGATCACCAAGACTTTCCCAGTCGAGGCATTTGCTGCTGGCCAGTAATAACAACATACTCCAAGCCTGCCTTGAAGCAAAAATGCTTTCCCCATTCTGCAACATAGCTAATCCATTTGCTGCATTTGAAATTTATAGCGTTTCACCTACATTTTGAGTTGTGCTACAACTCTCTAAACAGTTATAAATAAAGTTCTCCTTGTAACTTGTACTGATTGAAAATTTTCTGAAGACCAACCTTGCTCTGTTACCTTGTGCCTGTTGCCAAGCTGACATGTTCAACACGGTTAAAGGCACTGAAACTTTGGTTCAAGGATGAGATGAAAACAACCCAACAGATGATCCATCTAGGAGTCGACAAGACATAATGAAGGAAACGGGATGGTTCAGGATATGACAAGAACATCCCCAACTAGGTCCAGACCATTCACTTCTAAGTTCTAAAATAAAGCTCACTAACCACAAAACAGAGAAAAGCGTCACTACCTGAGAGAACGTATTGTGTAAAGGGAATGTAAGTTCCTCTATTCTCTATTCTTGATGAGAAAAGCAACAATTTTCTGATTTGAAGTTCTAATGATATGCAAATACAGTCCTGGAGCTAATCTAGTTCAGAAGCATATATATTCCAAAAATACAAGTAATCAGTCAGAAGATTCTTCAATTAAGTTGGACCAAGACTCAAGACGTTAGATCTACATTCGAGTTCGGTCAGCCTAGCTCCTACATCAGAATCTTTTACATTAATCCCAGAATTAAACACATGCAAACCCAACAAGGCTTTGTAGTACCCCTTCTCAATTTCCACCTCTTTCACCTGATGAACAAGAAGAGCCTCAATGATAAAATCTTCCCAATCAATAGTTTGTTCCTTCCTTTTCCTTTTCTTTTTCTTGCTGTATGCAACATCCACCAGGTCAGTATTTCTGATATCAGATTTATCAGCTGCATTAAACGAGCACCCAGCCTTGTTAAGGCGAAGCTTTGCAGCTTTTATCTTTGCTCTCCTTTTCTTAATATCCAGAGAACCCTTCACAAATGATGGAGGCATGGTTTCCAATCCCACATCTTTCTCTAATATATCCTCGAGCAAAAGTTTCTTGCTCAATTGTGATTTGCCATTCCACCATTCTGCTGCATAAACCTCAATCCCTCTCTGTTCCCTCTGACTAGGAACATCTCCCCTCACCTTGGCAGACCTCTCAACATCTTCTTCCAAGAACTTCTCATAGGCCATCGACAAGCACTCGTGTGACAGCTGAAGATTATCTACATCAGCTTGCCCCATTTGGGCAATTGATATTCCGTCTTCTACCGTAGGATTTTGAGGATCATCAGTTCCCCCTGGACCATCATCCTCAGCACCATAAGTAATTCCATTTCTCAAGCAGTCACTAATAACTTCTCCCAGATCAAACACAGCAGTCTCAAAATTCTCAATGTCCTTGCCACGTGTATTAGTCGACTTCAACTCCATATAACGAATCACAAGTGGAGCATTCTTTACAACATTCTTCACTGTCACATTCTTCCCCCACGGCAAAGCTTGAGCTACCTCAACAAGCTTCTCCAACAGCTCCTTATACCTTAACCGGGCAGTGATGACAGAAGCATTCACGTCTTTCGCCACATCCTCAAGCTTCACATCCTTAATCCCATTCAACTCAGCTACCAACACAAAAACAGCTGCTACCACAGGCAATGGCCTTCTCCCAGTAGTCAAAAACCACTTAATCGCACACTGTATCAAAAAAACACCTAGCTTCCTGATCCTGCCAACCATATCACTATCAACCCTACCCAAAGTCGCCAAATTTGTCACAATTCTCTCGAAAGCATTCACTATATCGAACTCGGGAAGACTGAGTTCCAAATGCTCAACCACCCGAGCCACCATCCTCCCCAGTTCATAAATATCACACCCAACAGCTTCGCTCACCTCCACAATCGAAAAAGCTTTGTTCTGAATCCTCATTTCGACATACGAACAAGCACCAATCAGTACATGGAACCAATCGCCCGAACCATATTCACCTTCCGTAATTCGATCAATCATGGACCTAATTTCATTCAGAGATCTACCACTCAAGTTCAACCTAAGCGCAATTTCGTCGATGAGCTTATTAGCCTCGTATACCTTCTTCTCTTTGTATGCCAATGAGCCACCTGTACCTGAAGTACCAACGCGGACGTAGGAGCCTTGCTGGACACCGCCGGGGCCGACGGCTCGGTCCTCGAAGTTGCGGAATTCTTGCACGGTGCCGCATGACTCGCAGACCAGACTCCCGGTGGTATCGTCGCGACCTAGGGATCCGTGTCCGCAACTGAAGCAGGGCATTGCAAGAGGGCGATGGTACACGAAAAGACTCGATTGAAGTTCGTTAAATTAGAAGAGAAAGAATGTCGGCTTTTCACTTCCGAGCTCGGCCGATTTCGGTGGAAGACAGACGCGGGCAACTGAAGATAGAAGAAAAGGGAAGGGCCCGACGGAGAAAAGGGAAAACCGAGAGAAACAGAAGGTTGCTTGTTGGATGAAAAATTGAAAATGTAGGTTTTGAATTTTCGAGGTAATATATTAACTAGTGGAAGCACTGGTCCACAATATAACCTGGCGGTCTATCAAACCAAACTTCACGATCATTCCATCTCGTTGCTATTTGTGCAATTAAGTGTGCAACCTCATTTCCTGTATGCCTCACATGCTTTCAAGACGACTCTCCTATAGACATCAAATATCTTCTTATATTCCTGCAAATTGTGCCGACTTCGGTATGGACAGAGGTCGCGTCTTCAAACTTATGTACAAGCTGCAAACTATCAACTTCAAGGATCGGATTGAGAACATTGTTCTGGTGAGCCAGCTAGACCTCAAACTCCGCCGCCAAAGCCTCAGCCTCAGCCTCGTCCACCACTCAGGTGCCTGGCACTCTCTTCGTTGCAGCCATTATGAACTTTCCTTCTGAATCTCTAGCACCATACCCAGCCCTATGCCATTGCCAGCCAAATAATCAGCATCCGTGTTGATTTTCACGCGACCTGTATTGGGTTTCCTCCACTATAATGTCGTCGCCGCCACCACTGTCGGGATCGTAGTCCGTTGTTGTTGGCTTTGGTACTCTTCCAAGAAGGCTTTCTCTCTTGGCACTATCTCCTGCTCCGGTCGCCGGTGCCCATTGAAGAGATGAGCGTTGCGCTCTCGCCGTAAAAATCACATGAGGGTACAGTGGTACACCATCTTTCCAGGTCATCGTTCGGGTTTGTTTCCATCGCATTCACCATCCATTCATAGCAATCTTCACTGTCCCTGCTGATGAAACTACTAGCTAATAATTAAACAAAACAAACAAATTAAAGTTGTCGGGAGAAAATCAACGGGAGAAACACCGGGACTCGCTACCTATCATATCCAAATTAATTCACATATTCCAATCAATTTAAACCATATCTCTACAGCCAGGATATCACTACTGTGCTAGCTATCCCTGTCGGGAATTACTACGTACTAAACAATCGATTCAAATCTTACTGTCGTAGCTCAATGACTTAATTATTTAGCCTGAAGATCGATATCATATTTAAGACCGCATAGCACCTTATTTAATCTACTGTCGCTTTGATAAGTTATCATGTCACATGAAATATGTTCAGTTATTAGGGTTTCACTGTCACTAATAACCTAATTAACGACAAATCATTGTATTGGTGGCCAGTCAACACAAAGCATTAAGCAATTTCATGCAATAGAGATTGGAAGAAAAGAAATATGAATCAATCCATCAAATCTAGAAATAGCTACATCCTATGGTGTTTCCCCTAGAAATTGGGGTTTAGTTAATGATGAAATCAAAAGATATAATCATGTTCTAAATCATCATGATATTAATCAATGAAAATTGACGAAAATACTCGAGAAACACAGCAGGTTGTGATGCGCCGGCGCTCGTTTGACTAGCTCTCTCCTACTGCTTTCTGAATTATGTCCGCCTCCTCTCCGCACTGCTATTCTCCATCGCCTTGTGTCCAATTAATTCTCCCCAAGAGAATTGCCCTCCCTCCAAAAGAATTCATTGTTCACGTAAATCTCCCCCAAGAGATGACGAAAAAAGATTTTCCATATATTTCCCCAGAATGGCTGCTCCCAATTCCTCTTTTATCCTTTCCGTCACCGCCCAGGAGAAAGAAGTGGAATGGGCCTGTGGCCCAATGTTGCTTGTTAACAAGGGAAATAATCACTTCTGATCCAAAATAGAAAGAGTCAGTTTCTTGTTAGATGGCTTGGTGAATCATTTTTCCTGTACATTTTTGTAATCTTTCTAAGCTGCTGAAATCCATTTTCTTCACCTAAAACACATAAAATTCATGGCACTTGGTGGTAATGGTTTTACAGCCATTCCATAGTCAATCAGTTCTAAAACAAGCATTATATGTCTCAAACATATCATGAAATAATTTCATGAAGCACATATGATCAATATGTTTTCGACAATTATCACCTACACAAAAAGAGGTCACCCATATGTTATGTTCTCCACGGTCGGAACACCCACGCACATTCACCGAACAGATGAGCTTGTGTTTCCTTCAAATTACAGAATGACACTTGTCCACCCATTTTGTACTCTTTGTAATGATATGGTTCCTGGTGGGTAGTATATCTCTCATAAATCTCCATACAAAATGCTTGACTTTTGACGTAATATTCATGGCCCAAAGTCTCTTCCAGATCCGCGGGTCGCCACAGGGTACTAATGATTCTTTCTACTTAAAGGATTGGAGCAACACGTTATAACCATCCTTCAAGTATAATCACTTGTATCATTCTCCGCCCAAATTAAGCAGTCGGCTTCTCCATTATCTCGCAGTGGAATATGCATAATTCTTTCTGCAATGGATGCTGGGAAGCAGCTAGCAATCAAATCATGGTCCCATTGTTCTGTGTCCGGGCATATCAATTCGCACACCATCAAGTCCACAGGCAAACTGCATGGCGGCGAGTCAACTTAATAAGGCTTGTGTGAGGGTAGCCACCTGTCTCCCCAGATTCTAACTTTTGTTCCATTATAATTTTCCACTGGAGTCCGTCGCATAAGAATTCTTGTGCGCTAAGCAGGCTTCGCCATATGAAGCTGGGGCGGTATCCTACTCTTGCATCCAGGATAGACGAATTCTTATGGTACTTTGCCCGCATAATCTGAGCAACCAACGATGATGATCTCTGGAAAAGCCTCCAAACTTGCTTTGCCAACATAGCAGTATTAAAGCCTTCGAGATCCCTGAAAGTCATGCTGCCTTCTTCCTTCAGGATAGCCATCTCCTTTCGACTCATCCAATGGACCCGACGTTCAGCTCCCTTCTGACCCCAATAGAAGTTCATAATGAGGCTATGAACTTCGTTAACAATAGCAGCATGAATTCTGAAAACCAACTTTGCATAAGTGCACTAAGACTGTGCAACAGATTTTATTAGAGTTTTCCTCCTAGCAACCGAAAGCACTTTCGCTTTCCACCCCATCAGTTTCTTGGGAACTCTCTCTTTGAGGCCATTGAAATTCTCCTTCTTCGAACGTCCAACTACTGTTGGTAAGCCGAGATATTTGTCATGATTCTCAACAAGTTTCATAGCTAGGGTGCCACTAATCATAAGTTTCTGATGGGTCTTCACATTGCCACTGAAAGAAACTTCGGACTTCCGGTAGTTCACAATCTGGCCCGACTCCCACTCATACGCCCGTAAGATTTCCGTAAGAGTTTCGCTTTCCTGGGTAGTAGCCTTGCCAAAGAAAACGCAGTCATCAGCAGAAAATAAATGAGAAATAGTTGGCGCTCCTCTAGCTTGCTTGATCTCATGCAGGCGATGATCCTTGAGTGCCTCTCTAGTGATCTCCGATAATCCCTCTGCACAGAACATAAATAAGTAAGGTGAGATCGAGTCCCCTTGTCTTAGCCCTCTCTCCGGGATGAAAGTATAAGATCGGTGACCGTTCACCAACACGGAATAAGACACCATACGCACACACCTTCTAAAAAGTGACATTCCACCCTGTCATAGGCTTTTGCCATTTCTATCTTTGTGGGAAAATCCGAACTCCACTTTTACTCGTCGCCCGTTTCTTGATGGTGTGAAAACACTCGAAAGCAGCCATAATGTTACCTGTTATGTATCTACCCGAAACAAAAGCACTTTTTCAGTGGAAATAACATAATCCAGAACCCCCTTCAGTTGGTTTCCAAGAACTTTGGTCACCAGTAGGGGTGGTAATCGGTCGGTTATCACCTAACCAATAATCATTCAGTTATCGGTTAACCGGTAATCGGTTAGCCGATTATCGGTATACCAATTACTGTCAAACCACCACCGATTAACGATACCGAATAACACTCAGTTAACCGGATAACCTGTTATCCGGTTAGCGATTATTAAACCAATTACCCGATTAGCGGCAAAGTCAATCACAGACCTCCCTCTCTGACTTAATTTAGACGCGACGAAAGAGCAATTAACCTCAAAAAGCTTTCGATGGCGAGAAGACACTTTTTTAGACAGGCCGGCGGGGAGTATTATGACGACTGCTTCTCCCCTCCTCTGCCGACATGCGACAACTGCTTCTCTTGGCCAGCGGAGATTATTGGGGGTCGAAACTAATCAACAGAAATTGTCCAGAAGAAATCTTCCCCGCCGAAGGAGGAAACGCCGTCGAACCGGAGATTGGAGATGGTGAAGTCGTTGGCCTCTCGCGTTGTAGCGCAGGAGCCTCTCTACGGCCATGAACCTTGATTTCGTACCAATATGGAATCGAGAGCTGGCTGTAGCTCGCATGCAGTATGACTCTCGATGATCTGCCGGGTTCGTGTTGGAGAGAATAGGTGCTTTCTACCCTCTAGCCTTGGATGTCGAAATTGGAGGGTGATTGCTACTAAAGTTCATTTCTCTTTTGTTTTGCATGCTTGTTTTCTGCCTTCTGTACAACAATCAGTGGAAGAGGAGAACTAATGATAGAATTAGAATATTATAAGGATTCGTTCTACTAATCCATGAGCCTGAGGTTGGGTTTTGATTTTGGAAGTTAGGCAGGATTGAAAAGCTAAAGTTGGAAGATGTTCGTGTGGAGGGGGAGAGGAAGGCGGTGAATTGCAGGTTGGGGAATGAGAATGTTCAAGTGGAATTGCACCTGGAGATGGCGTTGTCAGTTAGCCTATCGGTATCGATTAACATGTCGGTTACCACAATCGGTTATCGGTCACCGGGACAGATTATATAATTTCCTATTACCGTCCAAAACTGCTATAATCGGTTAATGATATAACTTGTAATCTTCGGTTATTGTTATGATTTCCGGTTATACCGTTAACCAAAAACCGATTACCATCCCTAGCCACCAGTTTGTAGAGGACATTGCACAAACTCATAGGTCAAAATTTTTGTGGTACAGATGGTACATTGACTTTCGGGATAAGAGCTATGAGTGTGTGATTGAGTTCCGGTGGCATCACCCCATATTAAGAATATTCAGCACCGCTGCCACAACTT